CTGTGCGGCTCAGCGTTTAGTTTCCTGGTGTTTTCTGGTATACACAGACCTCGTCTGAAAGCACTGTCCCTTGTACACGTGCGCCAAAGTGCGTGTGCACACATCTGTGCACACACGCATAGCTGTGCCGGGTGGGAAGTTCCTGTGTGACGGATTCGGTGGGGTTCCGTGGTCACTGGTCCATCAGAACCAGAGGGGACTGTGTGACGTGACCCCTGTGTGGGACAGCAGGTCCCCGTCCAGCCCGGGGTGGCCGGGCCAGAGGCTGCCATCCAGGTGATGCGGCAGACACAGCTCTCGCCGCATGCTGGCCACTGCCTGCCTCGGTGGAGGGCGGACTTTGCCTCCTGCGCGGTCTGGAGCCAGCTGTCCGCTCTGTCCTGCCGGCCAGTACTGTTTGCAGGCTCTGAAGGTGATGAGGAGCATCCGGGGGCACCGGCCGGGCTGAGGACTTCCTACCCAGGAGTGTCTGCTCCGCTCCTCCCAGTCAGACGTAGGTCAGGGCAGAGCGCACGCGTACTGTGGGGAGTCTCCCTGCCTGGGTGGCCGTCATGCGGCAGAGCCGCTGCCCCTGCCCTTCGGGCCAGGCTGCAGGGTCAAATGGGCCGTGGTCTCTGTGCAGCCGTCAGTGTGTTGTGTCCCCACAGTCACCTGCTCCGCCCGGTCCCTTGCTGAAGACAGCCAGGAGGAGCTCTGGGCGCTCTGGGTTCAGGGCTCGGCCACAGGGCCTGCTGTGTCCGGAGGCTTCCAGCAGCAGCGTCTCGTGCATCCTCAGCCCCAGCCCTCGCGTTCCCCTCGGCAACTCGCCGGGAGCTGGAGTCAGGAGGGAGCCCCAGGCTAGGGGCGTGCAGGCCAGCTGCAGGCCCTGGGCCTGGCCCTGAGGCAGAGGCACACACGTGTGCCCTCGGTGCTGTCCTGCCTTTCGGAGTGCGGCGGGCTGCTCCTGGCGCTGGCTCTCGCTGTCCCCGAGAACTGCTGACCTGGACGGCGTCCTGGGTTCTCTCTGACGGCGTCCGTCTGCAGGAGCTGGCCGGGCAGGGCGCCTGCGTTGCCCTCGCTGGCCTGCATCCCTGGGCTCCCGAGTGGCTGGGACGACAGGCGTGTGTCGTGGTGCCCGCTGTCCCTCGTCCGGGGGGTCCAGCACGGTGACTGCGGTGACACTCAGGATGGATGCCTCCACCCACTGCGGGGGCCTTGAACTTTGCTGCCTGCCCCCTCCCCTGTGTCTGCGCGAACGAGCGAGCTGACTCTCTCCTCCCTTCTCTTACCGTCAGCCGTTTGGCTCGTTTTCTTTTTTTAAGTAAAGGTTTACTTTTTCTGTTGTTTTTGAGAGGGGGAGTGAATCGAACTTGGGGTGAGAGGATCAAGGGGACGGCAATGTCCATGTCTTTACCGACGTGACAGGATGCAGGATGAGCCTACCAGGATGCGGATGAGCTGCGGGGCGTTTCAGAGAACAGTGGTCTTACTTCCGTTGCTTTGTCTCGAGGCTCCCCAGCCCTGCCCTGAGCTAGACCAGAAAACCCAGACATGCGCAGTCGGTTCCTGGAAGGAGTGCACCCAGGCTTCTCAGCGCCTTGAGGGGCCTGCAGGCCACACGTGCGCTGCTGCCGTGGTCATGAGTGTTTTGCACTCTTGAAGGCCTGGCCTCGCACGCGTGCAGGTTTCTGGCACGGAGCTAAGGGGAACTTCGGTTCTGTTGGGAGTTGCAGCGTCTGATCGGCACCAGGCGGACCTGGGCTCCAGGGACCGATGCCTTCAGCCTTTGTCCCCACTGCCCGCCTCAGCCCCCTCCCTGCTGGCCTCAGTGTCCTTGATCTACGGCGAGCCGGTCTGGGCCATGGACGGGACCAGCTCAGGGCACAGGTCTTGATTTGTTTGTGTACGGCTGTGGTTGGACCCTTGTGCTGCTGTCGTGAGTGCACCCTGGATTGTGCAAGGGGTGTGCACGTGGTCCCTGAGGTGGTCGGTGTCTCTCCAGGGAGCGGAAAGCTGGCGCTCGAGCAGGGACGGTAGCTCCTGACACAGCTGTAGAGCTGGTGTAACTTTGTGAAGAAGCATGTTAGGAGAGTGCTTTAAGTTCAGCCCTGTTTATTTTCTCTCTCTCTCTTTTTTTTCCTAATTCTTTTCTGTTTTTGAGACAGTGTCTCACTGTATGGTTTAGGCTAGACTCCAACTTGTGGTGAGCCTCCTGCCTCAGCCTCCCTGGTTCTGAGATGACAGGCCTGTACCACTACACCTGGCTAGGCTGACCTCTGTTTTCTTGAGTCTTTTTTATCAGGAAATGGAGGTGAAGTTTGTTCAAGTACCTGTCCTGCATTATCGTTACAGAACTGTCACGACCATGCCCGTAGATGCATGCTGTGCCATCCCGGATTCTGTGGAGCAAACTCTCGGTCACTGTGTGTTGCCTTTTTTTTTTTTTTTTTTTTTTTTTAACATGATTGATTAAAACTCTTCGGGAATATAGTTGCTTCTCAGTTTATGAACTTAATTTTTCCCATGCTTCTGGCCACAAACCAAATTGGATTCCATTCTCATGTAATTCAGTTTCCAAACAGAATCATGGAAAAAAATTGTTTGTGAACCAAGGTACCACTGATGAATAATTTAATAATTATAATAAAGTAATGCATTAACTACAATAATCATTATCAATAATTCATAATTCTATAATAACAATTTAATAATGCAGAATTTAATGCATACATTTTTTCATTCTTTGTTTTTTCTTTTTTTTTTTTTTTTTTTTTAATTTGAGACAGGGTCTCGCTAAATTACTAAGTTGCCCAGGCTGGGCTCAAAGTTTTGGCTCTCCCGGAGAGCGGGACCACAGGTGTGCACACACATCTGGTTGCGTGTTGACTTTTTATCTCACCATGACTCCGCTTATTAATTCTTTTCAAGCCAGATGTGACATTGCTCTCAGTCTGTGACAGTCCACATTCTTTAAAGCAACGGCAAACACATGGAAACAGTTTATCATTAACCAGGGTAAACCTTCAGTCCACCCAGAAAAACCATGTAACTCATCTTTAATGAGGTTAAAGGAGAAACGGCAACGACAAATAACCGCACTCCCGATGAGGAGGGAGCCGGTGCGGGCATGACACGCGGCCTGGGGCTCTGGGGTGACCCTCACTGTGACCCTCTGCTTGGGGAGGAGAGGCAGACAGATGGGAGTCACGGGGTCAGAAGTGATCCAGACACCAGCAGCGCTGAGAATGCGGAATCTTCCAGCAGACTAATGTTTACAGGGATTTTCTTCCCCACGTGGGAAACAGTGAATGTAGGAAATCAGGTTTTTGGCAGTGCTCCTAGGACCTGAGGCAGCCATGTCCAGAACTCCTAACTCTCCAAAGCCTGGACATTAGAAAGGTCTTCCCCTGATGAAATCTTAGTGTTTTAAGTTTTAAAAATGGATGCAAGTCCGATTCTCACCAGTGTGTCGGTTCATGAGAGCCGCCCGAGGGACCTGGGAGGTGCGCAGGACGCCGTCTGCACCCCAGGTGTCGGCGGGCATGGCTGCCCTCCTCACGCCAGCCCTGCAGCCTGGTCTGCGCAGTGCAGTGACCCACGGTCCGGGCTGGCACTGTCCGCCTTGGTCGCCAGGGGAACTTCTCTGGCCATCCCTGTGGCTGGCGTCTCCGTGGTGTTTGTGTCACATGCTTTGAGGTCTTCAGGTCTCTGAGCAGCGCCTCCCTCACTTCTGTGTCGCCACCTGACCTCTGATAGCAGCCCCACTGAGTCCCTGCCGTGGTCACCGCCCGAGGAGCCCTGGGCCACCTGTTCTGCCTGCTTAGTACTTTTTCAAAGAGCAATTTGCACTATTGTTTTTTGTTTGTTTGTTATTGAGAAGGGTCTCACTGTGTAGCCAACGCTGGTCTGAAACTCACGGCGATCCTCCTGCCTCAGCCTCCCCAGTGCTGGGATTACATACATGAGCCACCACACTCGGCTTGACCTTGCTGAGGATGAAGCAGTGGTTCTCAGAGTTGTTCTCTTCAAACGTCTGCACAGTACCTAAATGACAGTTTGTTTGTTTGCTCTTTTGAAACAGGATCTGCTGTGGAGCCCAGGCTGGCCTCAAACTCGTGGCGCTCCTCCTGCCTCTGTCTCCTGAGTGCTGGGATTATAGACATGTGTTATTACGCCCAGTTTAATTAGTTCTTTACTGCTCTGGATAACTTACTAGTCTCTCCCCTCAAAAAACTTTCAGTATAGCTATTCATTAAGATGTGTTTTCCTAGATAATTTTTATTTTAACCTTTATTCCTTCATTACTTTATAATTTTCCAAAACTTTGAATTGGAAACTTCATTCTCTTATTTTCCTTTCCCAGATGAAAGTAGTCCATGAGGTGAATTCTCTATGTACACGTTGCTTTAGTTTTCACTAATATATTTCTTAAAAATTCTTCAGTGTGGGGCTGGGGACTTAGCTCAGCGGTTCTGCCCCTGCCTCACAAGTGCAAGGTCCCGTTGGATCCCTGGTATTAAAAAAAGTTCTTCGGTGTTAATTTTTCTTACCCCCCCAAGACATCTGAGAGAAGCATGTTTCTGTGAACAGTGGGCACTCGTCCTGCTTTCTGATTTTGTTACTGATTTCTTATTTTTGTAAATTAATTCTTGTTTCAAATTTACGAAGAGACATGTGTTTCACTGCCCTTTGGAGTTTGTTGCGCATTCCTGTATTGCTCTGTGCCTGGGCACACTGCACAGATGTTGCTGTGGATTCAGAGGTGAGGTAGTGTTTGCTGTTTTTAGCCTGCCGTGACTCATGTTTACACCGCCCCCTGGGATTTCTGCCTTGTGAAGGTACGGTCGAGTCATCTGGTGCATGGGGAATTAACTGTGCAATCGCCATGGATGGTAGTGCACACCTGTAATCCCAGCCCCTTAGGAGGCTGAGGCAGGCGGGTTGCAAGTTGGAGGCTGGCCCGGGCAAGTTAATGAGATACTGTCTCAAAGAGGGCTGGGCTGTCACTCGTATACAGAGAAAAATAAATCAACTGTTACAGCATCCGTCTCTGAAGAAGTTACTTTCTGCCATTTATCTCACTTTCACTGTCAGGACCACGGTGCTCTGAGGTGAGCATTTGGGACTGTTTTTGTGGTTTCGGGCTCCCATGGGTTCCTTCATGTCGGCTGGTGAGGTGCTCGGTTCGGGGCCTTTGTCATCGGCAAAGCTGGGCTCTGCTGTATGAGAGGAGGCACCATGCAGTTCTGTTCTGGGTCCCAGGCGCTGGAGACTCCTCCGAGAGGTGGTTTCTAGGTCCTCTCAAGGAAAGTGCAAAAGGGAGCGAGCGAGATTTTATGCTCACTGAAAGTAGGAAAAGAAACAGGCTCTGCAGAGTGAGTTTGGGCTGATAAAAGGGGGAAAAGTACACTGCACAGTGTGCGAGCAGAGCACAGTGCAAGAGAGGCTGCAGCGGCACTGGCAGCCCCTCTGCATCTCCCACCCGCAGGCTGGGTTCGTTCCGGGCCTCCTAGGGAAACCTGCCCAGTCCTCTGAGAGGACTGGAGACTGCGCCCTCTCATTGGTGCATGGCGGGCTGTGGGAGCTCAGCGCTGTGTCCTGGGACTTTGTGCTCTGCCCTGCCCTGGTCTCCCGCCGCAGTCCTTGTCCAGGGAGTCAGATGGCTGACCTCCTCCTGGGTGGCCCCAGCACCCCCTGAGGTGCGGCACACCTCCCAGGGGCCTCTTTTCCAGGTCCTTACTGCCGTTCGGGCCCTGCAGCTTGGCTGCAGGAGCAGCTGGGAGCCACGTGCTGGGAGCTGCCACGCCGCCAGCCTGGCCGGTCTGCTTCAGAGTCCAGTTGTTCACAGGGCTCCTGAGCTCTGGGGTCACGGGTGCTCTGCAGGGACAGACTTTGGACTGGGGCTCTGGGAGGCAGGAGGCCCTGGGCGCTGGGCTGGGAACCCCACTATATAACCCCGAGTGAGAGACCATGGGCAGCTGCTGGGTGGCCTTGCAGATTTCATATGCTGCTCGCTAGCCCAAGGGCCTGCTGTGCCCGCAGTATTAGGGACAGAGGCGACACCCATGCCCATGTGTGTCCAGGGCTGGCTGGTGGGTCACAGGCAGAGGCCAGCGGGAGCAGGGACCCAGGTGTGTGGGGCAAGATGGGGCCATCGTGTGGCAGTGTCCCAGAGCGAGGCCAGCTTGCCTGGACCTCCTCAGCCACCACTGAGGGGACAGACCTCTGACGCACCCATGGGGAGCCAGGGGCCACAGCAGGGGCCAGTGCCATGGCTGGACATGGGCCCTGTGACCTGGGAGGTGCCCTGTGCTCAGATGTGAGGGTGGCCCTGGGACCTGTGTGTGCACACACGCTCACATACCCCTGCCCAACCGTGCACGCACGTACACACAGGCATCTGCACAGCCACTCACACTCACACCCAACACTAGTGTGCGAGGCACGGGTTTCTGGCCAGGGCTCCCGTGGGCTCTAGGGACTTGGGGCCTGCAGCCTGGCTTTGCTGCCCTGGTTTCTCTGATGCCTGGTGCCCTCTGCCTCCCAGGGTCCGGCTGGCCAGGGCTGGGTACTGCCTGGCAGACACCAGTGCACAACTGCCCCAGGGCAGAGCCACCACACAAGGGACTTTAGATACAGTGGGTGGTGTGTCTGCACTGGCACGAAGACAGACAGGCCAGGGGGCATCAGGCCACCGGGGGAGGCAGGCACTGGGTCTGATGTCAGCTGGGGCCCGGGGCGCTGGGTCAGAACTCAGGTGGCACAGAGGGCCAGGGTGCCAGGGGGAACAGGTGCGGCCAGGTCTGTGTCCTGAGGGCAGGGGCCTCACTGTCCTCACTGGCCCTGAGTTGAGCACTGGGCCTGCGGGTGACCGCCCAGTGGAGGCCTGCAGGAGCTGCTGTCCCTTCCAAACTTCCAAGTCTGAGGCTCTTTCCCCACACATCACCCTTACCACCGGGACCTACGGGGCCTTGGGACCAGGACCATTTCTCACCTTGCAACTGGGCCTGCAGCCTGGGGAACAGCGCCCCTCACCAGCGCTCCCCCCCTCACAGCTCTGCTCCCCTGCTGCTGAGCCGGTCACGTGACCTCCATGCCAACATCTGGCAGATGCCCAACATCTGACCTCTCTGGGGCTTTCCGAGACCCTGGCTCACCCTTCACCGTCTCATCCGCAGGCAGGAACCCCTGAGCTCGCGGGAGTTCCGCCCACGTATGCTGCTGCGGGGCTGGGCTGGCTCGGAGGGTGGGGGTCTGCAGCCCACACCTCTGCCTCTGTCCCCAACTGGGCCTGTGCAGCCTCCCCCTGGCCCCTGGCCCCCTGCTCCAGTCTCCAGCAGCTGTCCCTCCTTCGGGTGGGGGCCAGTGTGGGGGCCGTGGCCCTGTCCCCTTGCGCTGGCCCCTCAGGCCATACTTCCCTGGGCACAGAAACCCTGGTCACAGATAAGCGTCCTCTCCTTGTTCCTCCCAGCCGGGGTGGGGCAGAGGGCCTGGTAAAAGCTGGCGACCCGTCCTTGTCACTGCAGTGCCACACACATTGCTGGAGTGCTGCTGTGTCCACCGAGCCCCAGGTAAGGGAGCTGCCCCCCGGCTCTTCCCAGCCCTGAGTCAGTGGAGCACCCAGGGTGTCAGGGGAGGTGGAGCCCCGGCCATGCCCATCTGTCTGCCCCCGGACTATGAGCCTCCCAGGCTCGGTCCTGCTGCCCCCTGCCCCCTCCGGTGCTGTCCCCAGGCTGGGCAGGGCCGTGGCTGAGGTCTCGCATCTGCCTAGGTCACCAGGAGAAGCAGCTCCACACACAACTCCCAGATCTGACGTGAGGCTCTTGAGTGACCCACGCCTGCTCCGTGCCTGTCACCTACTCACCAAGGTGGCATTTTGGGTGGGAACTGTTTAATGAGGCTTCGCCCTGCACTCTCCAGCACATCTGGTGGGTCGGGCTGTAGTGGGTGCTGGCTGTCCTGAAGGTTTTGCCTGAGGCATAGCCCCGATTGCGCCCAGACTGGTCCCTGTTTCCCTGGCCTGCCAGGGGCTGGTGCCTTGGGGGGAGCCCTAGGGGTGGGGTGGCCCTTGTCCCCCAAGTGTGGGTTGTGACAGGCTCTGCTTGGCTAGGGACCGAGCCTGGGCCTATGCACCCACCCTGCAGCTGTGGCTTCCTGAGGAGCCCTTGGACCAGCTCTTGGGCCTTCTGGTGCAGAGTTCTTTTCTCCGGCTCTTATTACCTCTCCCCATGGACTCTGGTCCCTGGCCTCTTGTGTTTTCCAGGTGTTTGTAGACTGACTGCTTGTGCTTCTGTTTTGCATCAGCTCTCAGCCCCTGTCACCCTGTATGAGCAACCCACTCCACTCCAGTGCCAGTCCTGCCATACGCTGTCCCTCGCCACACTTTCTGGGGAGAGGCCTCTGGCGAGTGGCCAGCGCTGGCACTCAGTGCCGTACCCAGCCCTATGGTGCCCTGCAGTATCCGGGGCCAGGAGGCCAGGTGAGGGTTGCACAGCTGTAGAGAGCATGTAAGGCCTGTCAGAGGCCTGGTACCCAGCACAGAGCTGCTACCCACAAGGAGACACAGGAGCCAGAGGGGCACCATCCCGAAGTCCGAGTGAGAAGCAGGTGCAGCCAGGGCCTTGGGGCCCCGGGCCTGTGGACATGGACACAGACGTGTGCTGCCTGGAGCCAGGGTGACATGGCTTGCGGGGTTGGCAGGGTGGGGGCAGAGCAGGACAGGATGGGACCGATGGCTATGGAGCTGGTGCCCTGGCCACCGTCCTGCAGGAAGTGTGGGGCAGAGAGGGCAGAGGGACACTGAGCCACAGCTCCTCCAGCCCAGCCAGAGCCACGTGACCTTTGTCCTGGGTCTGACGGAGGCCCCCGCAGTGGGACAGAAAGGCAGCATTGCAGGGGACAGCGCAGCCCCTGTGGCCAGGCCAGGTTCTCTCCAGATGAGCGTTTGTGATCAGGTCCTGGAGCTAGGTCAGTGTGATGCCCTCGGGACTTGAGAGACACGGAGGCAGGAGTGGCTGTGGGGCAGGGGCGGGCGGTGGCACCACCTCCTCTCTGGAGCCAGGCACAGTGGACACTGCGAAGCTGGGGGGCTCATGTTTTCCTGGTCCCTGGAGGCCGTGACATCAGTGCCACCCTCCCCACCCGAGCTGAAAGCAGCTGTGCCAGGCGAGGCCGCCATGTGACCACTGCGCTGGAGAAGGGCTCTGCTCATGGGCACCCAGGGACACGGGCGCTGCCCAGACCCCTCCCTGGACCTCGGAGGTACAAGTGGCTGCTCAGCAGACACCGCAGGGAGGGGAGAGCACCTAGGAGCCTTCATGTGGCCAGGAGTGTGGCACACTCCTTCGGCCTCTGCGTGGGGCCCTGCTGTCCTGTGCCTTGGGAAGGGGAAGATGTGAGCCAGGCAGTGGGTGCACCCTATGGAAAAGGCCCTGAGGTCACGCTTTGGGGCCAACGGTGGAGGGTGCCCAGGGTGGACCGTGGGGTGCCTGTGGACCTGCAGGGCGGCCCTGGCCCTGTGATGAGGCATGTGCTTGTAGCCGACCTCGGCGTGCAGCTCATCGTGGGGCCTGTGGCAGAGCTGGTCCCACCAGGCACTGGGCGAGACGAGGGTCGGGCTGGCCCCAGCTGGACCGCGACACAGGCAACAGCAAGCTGGCCAGAGGGCTGGGTTAGGGCTGGAGGCGCCCAGCGGGGTGGCTGGGTCTTCTGGTGCCCACTGCAGGTGTGGCTGCCTCTCCCGAGATGGTGCACGGGCACCTCAGCGGCCCCGCGCCTCTGCTCACTGCATCTGGGGAGGTGTGCTGGGCGCTGCTGCCTCCTGCGGCCCTCTTGCCCACCTGAGCCCCGGGTTCCTGGCAGGTGACTTTGTAGAAGTAGGTGACCTGGCTCTGGCAGCGAGGCCTGAGCGATGAAGGCCATTTTTTGAGAGAGGGAGTGGGAGGGGACTTGGGAAGGGACAGACAGGTGTCCTCTGCCAAGGTCACTTTCCCTCCTGGCCCCTATCCCCTGGGCAGGGAGGCCTCCCTGCTCCGGATGTGCCTGCGCCTGTCCAGCCTGGCTCCAGCTTTTGAGCCGGATCCTCTGCGGCCACCGCGCTCCCAAAGGTGCCATGTGGCCTCAGGATGCTTTGTTCCTACTTCAGCTGTTGGGCCCCAGCCGAGGCCCCATTCCCGGTGAGGGAGTCCTGGGTCCTCGCGAGGGTGCAGTCAGCAGCCGTGTTCCCGGCACTGTGGGGACTCAGCTCAGTGGGTGCAGCTCAGGTAGGGGGTTTGACGCTCAAAAAGCACACACCGCACCCCGTGTTTTACACTCATTCTGTTCTGGAGGACCTCTTTATGCCTCCCCATGGGCAGTAGGGAATCTGTCCAGGATCCACACTGGCCACCACCGGTCCTGGGAGAGGATGGAACTCAGAGCTGGGTGGCCGCTGTCAGGGGCAAGCAGGGTTCATGCCCACGGGACACAGACCGGGAAGAGCTGGGAGTCTGACGGAAACTTCAGTTGGGAGCACATGGAAGTCACAGGAACTGTCAGTTGTCGGACAGATTTCAGGTCTTTGTTTGAGAGAACTTGATCTCAGGTAGGAGCTGCCCTGAGGTGAGCCTCAAGCTAGGCCACTGGTTACAGAAGCACACCAGCCTCCGGTCATCTCTGCTCCCTAATACCCACTGGGTTCCTGCCGGCTCTCGAGGCCATGCATCCCTGCCAGACTGTGGCTGCCTTTCTAAGGCCACAAGCCTGGGACATAGTTGCCGATCTGTCCAGACCTGCACCATCCCAGAAACAAGCACATTTCTGGCCGAGCAGGTGCTGGGTGCAGGGCCCATGCCCGTCCCTCTGCCTGCCTCCCCCATCCCCCGGGGCTCTTCCCTGCCACACACAGATTTCCCAATGCTGCTGCTACCGGAGCCAGGCCGGAGCGGCTTCTCACTCACACCTCACTGTTTACTCTTGTTTGGTTTGCTTGGTAACCTGCTCACGCCCTGGCCCCAGTGTGGGCTGGGCCATTCCGATCCTCAGCCTTCCCTGAGATCCATCTGATGGCTGTGCTCCTGAAGCCTCTGCTGCCATCCAAGTGACCCCAGCAGAGCTGTTCACGGCGGCGACCCGGGTTTGTCTGCACTTGGGCAGGTCCAGGACACCAGGGCGGGTCCGTGCTTCTGTGCCCTGCAGGGCTGCACAGAGCTGAGCCCAGGGGTGAGAAGGCTGCTGCGGTGTGTGCATCCCCAGTGGAGAGAGCTCCCGCAGCCTTCTCCAGCATCGGACTCTTCACATCGCGGTGAAGAGGTGCGTGTGGGGCGGCCTGGCCCGTGAGGACTCGCGGCGTGGCGCAGGCTGTGTCCCTCCTTCCGTGGTTCCCTCTGCCCTGGCTCATGTCTGGACCAGGGTTGAGCTGAATCGGTAAACAGGCAGCGGAGCGGCGAGTCTCTGTGGGCTCATTAGCAGGCCCGGTGCAATGACAGCTGTGTCCCCCGAGCGCCCAGAGCCACACAGGCAGCGGAACCCGATTCCCTGGGTGTGGGGTGTGGAGACCTGGCCGAGGCTGAGCACCGACTGTCCCCAGGAGGAGGGGGTGATGGACACCTGCGTCCAGGCCATCTGAGACCTGTGACCCAGGCCGGTGTGCCAGGGAGCCTCCTGTGGGGGGACCTAGACAGCTGCCAGGAAGGGGAGCAGAGATGCACACCCGGCTGGGCCAGCGTGTCCCCAGAGCTGCGTCCTTGGCCATGGGGCGGGGGGGCTGGGGAGACCGGTGCAGCCCTCTGCTTTGGCCCTGAGCTGAGTGAGAGGAGGCTGTGGGCCGGAGGCAGCGCGGGGAATTAGGACCAGGAAACCCTTAGGCAGCACCAAACGCTCAGGGCCTCCCCGGCCTCAGTGCCAGATAATGACCGTCTGCCCCGTGGCCAGTGGCTGTGTGCTGGCTCTGCCGGTGTCACCCTGTGGTCACAGCGAGCTGACCTCAGGGAGCCCGAGAGCCCGATCTGCACCTACAGAGGCCAAGACGAGCGTGAAAACCAGGAGGGGTGGAGGTCGCCACCTTCTGCCTTACTCTGCCTCCTGAGCACACAGCTCTGCCCTTGCTGCTGCTGGCTGTGTCCCCGTGGCTCTTATGTGGTCTGAGGCAGAGCGCTGGGAGGAGGAGGAAGACACCTTCCAGCTGGCGAGCGTCCCTGAGCCACCACCAGCTGCAGCCTGGACCTGGTGTCGCCCGCAGGCGGGTTTGGGACAGCGTGTTCACGATGAGGGCCAGAAGGGGCTGCCATAGCCACGGTGCTATCGCGGGTCCGTCCGTGTCTGTGTCCGTTTCCGCCTCCCACACAGAGTCCCGGGGCTGTGCCATGGGCCCCGTCGCACTGCGCTGCTCTCCCCAGAGCCGGCTCTGCTCCCCACAGCGGAGGGGAGCCCGGGACCTGGAGTCGGGCCCCACGACCTCTGCCACGGCTCTCGAAGGTCTGCTGGCGATGCCGAGGCCTGCACATGCGTGTGCCGGGGTGCGGGGCCCGCGGTGCTGCTGGCCCTGTGCCAGTGGTGGTGTGAGCCTGCCAGGTGTGAGGAGAGGCACTGGCGCGGGGACAGCTCCGAAGCTTGGGCACCGGCCTGGGCCTAGGGGGCTGGGTGCAGTCGGGTGGGAGAGGAGGCATCGGTGGCCATGTCCAGCGCCACAAAAGACGCAGAGCAAGGCCTGTCCCTCTGCAGTGCGGCCACTGACCCGGGCCGGGCTCTGTTCGCTGCCCAGTGGGTGACAGCCTTCCATCCTCACAGCAGCCCTGTCCCTGCTCTGCTCTGTCCTCCCAGTTCAGCTTCCTGCCGCTCTGCCCCTGAGCTGCTTCGGGGCCTCCTGATTTGGGCTGGGAGACGCAGGGCC